AGGAAACTCGTGTTTTACGAGACGAGTATGTTTCATCGTTTTCCAATGACAATCAGATGATTTTCAAGGTGGCGAGGACACGCTTGGAATACTTATTTACAAAACAGAAAAAAAAAAAAAAGGAAAAGAACGAATGCTATTCTTGTCTTCGAAATCAAAGGCGAAATCAAAGACGAGAAAGTAAGCAGAATGGTTAAAAATCTTGTTAAATAAATGGGAGAGAGAGAGAGAGAGAGAATGCAAGCGAGAATGAGACACGAAGAAGGCGATAAAAAAGTTGAATATAAAAATAGAGCGCAAAACGAACGATCCAGAGTGTGAAACGCTATTTACCTCCCTCGACTATCAGATCTCACGTTCTTCGATATAATCTAATAAAATAATTCTCCATTAATAAACACGTATCAATAATATGTTGTATATTCGTAAAAAGTAATTCATTCGAGAGAAAGAGAGAGAACGAGGCGTCGGTGCGTTTGCTTCCCTTAAATTAAGAAAAGTTATATCTGTGGAAAAATAACATGAACGCTTCGTTGCCTTCAGTTTCGAGTATCCTTTCTCACGATTCAACTATACTTGAAAAAAGAACGAAAAAAAGGAAGAGAGGAAGAATGTTGTATTATTCCCCGCGAGTGTCCTTTTCCATTTCTCAGCTTACTTTATGCTTAACAGAACTATGAAGGATTTATCGGATTATCGATTCAGCCTTGTTGCTTATATCCGGAACGTTGTGAAAAATAACAATCCACCGACGAAGAATTTAATATTTCATCGCAAGCAAATTTTTCAAACTGTCAAATTTATCTTTAATGCTTGCAACTCGGAATTCTCAAAATTCGATTTGAAATTTTCCACATGAAAACTAATGCAACGAATAATCTGAATTGGATGCTTCAATGAATAATTAATGGAGTAATAACAAGAATGATTGCTCCTTGTAACTGCTTCTCATTTATTTTCTTAATAACTATATCTTCGAATCCAACAGGTTGCTTTCATTTATATTTATATCACAGTAGGATCCTCCTGTTTAATTAGAAAGTGACATTAAAGTCAGAAAACCAACAGAAAATGTATTTACTATCTTTTTCTCCTGCGATCTTCATATTCAGTATTCAAAAGTGTTCAATGTTCAATGTTTGGTGAGTCACTGTACAGTTTCAAACAACAGGGATTTAATGCGATATCTCTTTACAACCTCGCGACCTTGTGACTGCAATTACGTCGTTGACGTCATATGGATTTTTAAACGGTGATTTCACCGATGTAAATTGGCAATCAGTCGATTATATGTTCCTTTCCACGCTGTGAAAATTCCTTCGTGCGTTGCTATTGCGCGCGAGCGAGAAATCTCGAAGAGGACACTCGTTCATTGAAACATGTATGCCGTTCTTATCAAATCCCTCAATGTGGAACTACTTTACTTCGTGCCCGAGATACGCCCGACCATACTAAGATTTATTTAATTTCATTCTCCGATGAATTCGCTATGTGTCGAACACACGAGTTTCTCTAGAATTGCCAATATATAATTTATGAAAAGTTGCTAGTATCTGCTGCGCGTGTTTCGAGCACGAGTTCATTCACTCGAGGGAATACACAGAAAAAAGAAATCGTCTCAGCGATGTCTGCGAAAAACTACTGATTCTTGTTCACGTTTTCATATTCTGCCTCCCTTAATGAATTGTGCAATAAATTTCTAAGAAATGAAACATCGTTTATCGACATTTTTAAGAAGGTGGGAGAAGGAAGAAATCGGCACGGAAAAAATATAACGTTCCCTTGAAGTTTCATTAATTTCTTATAAAAGAAGAAAAAAAAAAAGAAGGATACAAATTAAAGAATGATTCACATACATGTAATCTTTCCTTCCTCGTATACATTTCGATTTTATCTTTAAAGCTTAAATATATAAAAAAAAAAAGAGAAAAAAAAGAAAAAAAAATACCTTTGAATATTATACGCGTGAAACTGAATTTCGAACGACGTTTATATATGTCTGAATCTTTCTGCGTCTACAGTTGCTATGTGTCCGAATTTCGTAACCTAATCTATGTATGTATTTAAAATATTAATTCAGAGTCTCCAAAAAGTAGTTGCGACCGTCGAACGATTAGCAAACCGCGAGATGTTTGTCGAATAATTTTCACGAGCTGCCTCGAGAAACCGAGGGGACATTGTAACGAGTCGGCTGGTTGACCACGACGATATCG